GCTAGGACGTGGCAGAGCCGCAATTTGAACGCAGGCTGCCTGGCTGGAGTCTGTGCTCGTGAGCATTTTCCTAGCTGCCCCTGAGGTAGTAACTGTACAACCGTGACTTGTGAGGTGTGACAGGAGCGAAGCCAGCGGGAGAGCCAGGGACAAGGGAGCTTAGCTGGAGCGGTCAGGAACGCCTCTCTGACTAGGCGAAAGGTGAGGATCATATATCAGCTAGGACGGAGTTGCAGGGAAGAACGTTCTAGGCAGAGGGAACAGAACATGCAAAGGTGCTGTGGTGGAAAAGGAGGTGGCTTATTCAAGGAACGGTGAGCGGGAGGAGATGAGAGCAGGGCCAGGCAGGGGTAGGAGTTGTGGGAGTCCGGGGTGCCTCTCTGTGCGCTCTTGTCCTGTAGCTCTGTGGCTGAGTTCCTCGTTCTCTTCCTGTGGTACTGCTGGGAGGCTGGTGAAGGCCGTGGACACACAGAAGCCTGGCACTGTGCCAGGTGCCAGAGGCCCTGCGGGCTGAGGCTGGCAGGCCCGTTTGGTTTGCTGGTGGCCGCCTGTGAACCTCTGTTTGTTGTGGTGACGGTCGTCACATCGGGCCCACACCTGGGCAGCCCTGGGCTGCCTGGCCATCCGGATCCAGACTGACGTGGTTGGCGGACAGTGGCGGCGGCTGGTGGCCTGTGGCCTGTTTTGGAGCCGTCTCCCTGGTGGCCTCACCCACTCCCTCTGACAGCCGGGGAGCTGCCCCACAGAGCCCATGTCACTCCAGACACAGGCCCGGTGACCCTGACGGGCAGGTAGCTGAGAGGGCCAGGACCCTACTCCTTCTGCCCACCCAGCCCACGTGCTTGGAGCAGCCTCTGTCCCACCCCAGGCCCAGAAGGAGGGCCAAGTGGGAGCTCACATTTACCGAGTGCCTTGTTCCTCTTCCCATGACCCTCATCTGCCCGGCTCGGCCGCAGGCACAGAGGCTGCCTTGACGGTTAGGGAAACTGAGGCCTGGTGAGGGGGAGCCCATCTCACGACGTTTGCAGATCCCAGGGTGGGGGATGGGTGTGCAGGTTTGGGCCAGAGAAAGGTGAGGTAGGGCCAAGAGCAGCTAGAGCAGGGAGGGGTGTTGCTGTGAGCCCCAGGAGACCCCCGAGTGGATTGTTTGTCTTTTTTAAGATTTTATTTATTTATTAGAGAGAGAGAGGGAGAGAGAAGGCACAGGCACACAAGCAGAGGGAGCAGCATAGGGAGAGGGAGAAGCGGGCTCTCTGCTGAGCAGGGAGCCCGATGTGGGGCTCGACCCCAGGACCCTGGGATCATGACCTGAGCTGAAGGCAGACACTCAGCCGACTGAACCACCCAGGCATTCCTGGATTGTTCATTTTTAACATAAAATGTTTTACTTTCTGGTTGCAAAAAGCTTCAAGCGAAGAAAAAAGCTCCCCATAATTCTCATTACATGGGGTGGTTTTTTATCACCTCTGTGGAGAGGCTTGTAATAACCATAGTGACCATTTGTGGGCCATCAGATAGGCCTACCTACTGTGCGCCAAGCCTGTGCTGAGTACCCAGCGGATGAGCCCGCCTTGTCGGGGGGCGTGCCTTCTCTTTCAGAGATGCAGGACTTGATGGGCCGAGAGGAGGGTACCATGGCCCGTCTCAGCGGGGGGGTCAGAGCTGGACTGCTCGGGCTGCCGCATGTCAAATGCGGCAACACTGGCCTGACCAGTGGCCTCCTCAGGCCTCGGGCCCTGCAACTCAGGGCTCCTGCCCCCGTAGCAGAGGCCAGTGGTGACTTAGTCTGACCCAGGGGCAGCACAGAAGTGGCCTTAGGAACTGACGGGCCTGGACACCTCGGCTTTTCTGTATTCCTCTTGCCATGTAGAATGTGCCGGGCCCTGGGAAACCCAGGGATGCCTCTGGGTTCCTGTTCAGCAGATGTCACAGTGCTGCCTGTGGGGAGTACAGCAGGCCCATCTCTCCCCCTACAAGGAGAAGCTTCCAGCAGGAGAGGGTGCCGTGAACGGCTGGCCTGGCCCAGTGTGGTCTCCGAGTCACCAGATCCGGGAGCAACTCCCGGCCAGACCCCTGACTCACTGTGCAGCATCTCTGTTTCCTCCAGTAAAGGAAGGCTAAGTACTCCTCCCTGTAGGGTTGTCAGAACATTTGGAATAGATGGGAAGGGCCAGTTGTGTGGCCAGCAGGCCGCTGCTGGACAAGAGAGAGACCCACGGGCCCCTGACAGCTGGCCATGTTGCCTCATCTGTAAAATGGGATGAAAACACCTCACACAGGGGCACCTGGGTGGTACAGTCGGTTAAGCGTCTGACTCTGGGTTTTGGCTCAGGTCATGATCTCGGGGTTGTGAGATCGAGTCCCGTGTTGGGCTCTGCACTCAGTGCAGGGTGCTTGGGATTCTCTCTCTCACTCTGCTCTTCCCACTTGTGTGCTCTCCTCTTTCTGTATCTCAAATAAATCAATCAATCTTAAAAAAAAACCCAAACCAACAACAACCACACATATGAGCTCATGATTAGGCAACTGGTCTACCCCGGTGCCAGGGGAGTGGATGGTGGCACCCAGTGGATACTGTGTGTGGAAACTTGGTTCCTACGGCCGCCGGGTTGTTCCGGGACAGGCCTGGGCTGGGGGTCAAGTCGTGCTGATGGCAGCAGGCTGCTGTTCTAGTGCTTTCTGTGATAAGAACCAACTAGGTGCTGTTTCGATCCCCTTTGACTGGATGAGGATGCTGGGGCTCAGAGAAGAATGGGGACTTGCCGAAGGCACCCAGCCTCTAAGGGGCAAAGGTGGTATTTGAATTTGGGGCAGTGAAAACACATGATTTGGCTACAGAGGTGCCCCAAGAGCTGGGGCCAGCGTGGAGTGAGCAAGGCTCCCCCTGGCTCTGGGGTTGAGGATGGTGCCATTTGGTACTGACTTGGCAGTGGGCACAGGGGCCACGTGGGTCAGGGCCTTTGGCTGCCAGGGCCTAGCAGACCTACCTCGGAGCCGGGCATCTGGGGGGCCTTGGGTGGCTTCCGTGGAGAGGCTGCAGGTGCCCGCCTGCGCCACCCCCAGTGCTCTGCCCACCCACCACAATGCAGAACCTGGGACCCCATCCCCACCGGGGCCCTTCTATTTTGTGGCAGTTCATCTAGCTCTGAGGATATAGCTGGGGCCAGGCCTCAGCTTCCCAGCGGCAATAACAATCCCATCCCATCACTTGACGTTGGTGTCAGGCCCTGCCTGGCTGCTGGGTCCAGGTATGTGGGCCTCCAGGCCTGGGTCACACATGGGGCACTGAGGCCACACAGCAGGATGTGGTGGAAGCTGCATCTTGAACCTGGTTCAGAGGTGGCTTCCAGGGCTCGGTTCTCCCAATGTGCTGTGCACACTCATGGCCGGTGGTTCCGGGCCTGGGGCAGCTCCCGTTTCCCTGGGTGGCCGGTGGTGTGAGGTGGGGACTCATGGTCAAGTCCCACCTCTGCCACCTGCATTCTCAGTGACCTGGGCACATCACTTCCCTCCTCTGGACAATGGAGCTCCGGTCCTGGTGCCTGGGAGCAGGGGCCGTGGACTCAAGCCTGCCTTGTTCCTCACCAGTGGGCTCCCTGAGGTCTCCCGCCCTGGCTTTCCTGCCCGTGAGATGCCCTTGCACCTTCCTCAGAGCACAGCACTGCTGAAGGCTTCCTCTGCTGTGGCCAGCCTGCCACGTCCAGCGCCCCATGATGCAGATTCTCCCCTAGCACTGGCTGCGTGCTGGGCACCTGGGCACCCTCTCTCAGCCAGCCCAGGAGGTGTGGGCATGGGGTCTTGGAGAGGCGAAGCCCCTCTCCTGTCCTTAGGAGCCTGCCCGGTACCCTGGGGAGGGAAGGGGCTTACTGGGGTACTTTTGGAAGGGGCAGCAAAGGCAAGAACTTTGTGCAGTTGGCAGAGTGCCAGGCACCAGGCTTCGGCCGGCGAGTCCCCAGCCTGCATCTGTTCCGAACTTCGCAGCCACCCCTGAGGTGGCCTCTGCATTCCTGGGTGACAGATGAGGAAAGGGAAGCTCAGAAGAGGGGTGGGCCGCAGACCTGGGACCTGAAAGGAGCTCTGTGTGCCTCAGAGGCCCCCCACCAAGGTTAGTGCCACAAGTGGGAGAAGGAGGCTGGGTCAGTTTGCTCGCACCACAGGCTGGGGGCTTCACAGACACTTCCTGTCTCACAGTCCTGGAGGCCAGAAGTTCCATCAAGGTGCTGGCGGGCTGGTTCTCCCTCTGAGGCTGTGAGGGAGGGGCCTGTTCCAGGCCTCTCTCCAGCTTCTGGATTCCTTAGGGACTCCCTGGCTTGCAGATGGCCATCTTCCCCCCATGTCTTTTCACACTGTCTTCCATCTGTGCATATCTGTCTCTGTGTCCGCCTTTCTCCTTTTCTAAGGCCACCAGTCCTACTGGATTAGAGCCCACCCTCATGACCTCATTTTAACTTGATCATCTCTGTAAAGACTCCATCTCCAAATTAGCGTAACACTCTGAGGTACTGGGGCTTAGGACTTCAAGACACGGATTTTGTAGGGGCACAGTTCAGCCCTTACCAGGCACTTAGGACGCAGGGCTTCTGCAGGGCGTTGGGGGCACAGGCCCTGGTAAGGGCTTTGGCTGCTCGGACCCGGCCCTACTCCCTCGCGGGGGTGCCCAGTGGTAGCCTGATGTGTGCCCCATGGGGGCGGATCTGCGATGGAGTGACCTTCCTTGGAGGTACGCTCTGGAGGCACCACCTTTCCTCGGGCGGTTGTGGGGTGACTACCCAAGGTCAGCTTCCAGGAGGGCCAGTGGGGCTTGGGCCGGGGACATCCTCTGGGTGCCCCCCTCAGAGCATTGCCCACACTGATCCTCAGCACCTGTATCTGTCCTTGCGGCCCCTTGAGGGCAGGGGGTCTGGGTCATCTCTGACCCTAGGTTTGTCCAGCCTAGGCGTGCCCCAGGGATGTTGATAGACTGAGCATTGACCGGATGCTTCACCTTCTCTCCATTTTAGGGAAATCCAAAAGGAAGAAGGATATACGGATATCCTTCGTGTCCAAACCGCCCGTACCCAACCCCACGTGAGTCTACCTCAGTTTCTCCGCTGGCTCAGCCTGGAGGGGGCCCCGGGGAGGGGAGCAAGCAGAGGGGTGGGGGCAGCGTGTCCCGGATAGCACCTCCTATGAACTGGGCCCTGGCGGGGGGGTGGCCATGGGGGCTCCCAGGCATCACACATCTGCGCTGTGTCCCCTTTCTTGCCCATCTCAGAGATGGAAGGGTGAGGCTCTGGCCACGTCTGTGTGACCGCACCTTGCATCTGGCACAGCAGGGGCTGGAAGACTTGAGACCAGCTGCCTGGAGGAGCACCACCTCCCTCAAGCTGCCTCCTGGGGATGGGACGGGTCTCTGGCTCCTCTGCCAGCCTGGTTTGCTCCTTCTTTCGGGGGAGGATGTGCTGCTCTCTGAGGCTCATGGGATCTGCTTCCTCCCCACAGACCCCCCCGGAACCTTGACTCTCGGACCTTCATCACCATCGGAGACAGGGTAGGTGCCGGCTGCGCACCTGGGGCGGGCCTTCATGGGTCAGAACCTCAGTGTTTTCATGTGACAAGCGGGCCCATGCTGACCCTGTAAGGCCACTGGGAAGTGGCTGTGGGTGGTGGAAGGAGCTGGGCTTTGGAGAGCAGGCTCACTCCCCAGACGTTGGCTGTGTGGCCCTGGGCTGGCCACTCTCAGACCCTCTCATCTGGAATGGGGACAGTGGCCTGCCTCATGGGGCCCGCAGAGCCCGAGCTGCCATGAAGTTTCCTGATCTCAGAGTTGGGGGCCTGGGGCCACCGGTGCTCACAGCACTGTGGGAATGGTGTGTCAAAAGTGCGGACTTCCAGCTCTAGCCTCAGAACCAGCATCTGGGCACCTGCCTTGCACACGCGCCTCCTGACGGCTTGCTCACCAGGGATTGAGATCCTGGCTCAGGGACTGTGCTTCCCCCACAGGCAGAGACCCACTTTGGAGGCCTCTCCATGGCTGACAGCCCCTCCCAGGCTCATTCCCTCCCGGTACTTGTCAGTGGGCGATGTCCGCTTTCTTGTTTACTGTACAGCGGAGGGCAGGAGGGAGCGCAGGTGGCTTAGGGTGACACTGCTCACCATGAGGGCAAGACCTTTGTTCTGTTCTCTCTGTCTCTAGTGCCTAAAACAGGAAGGCGCACATAGTAGGGACTCAGCAAATACTGGGTGAATGAATGATTCTGTCCCACCACCTGAATGGGGTGCGGGGCAGGAAGGAAAGGGCATCTCTGGAGCTCCCTGTGCCGGCTGGGGGCATTTCACAGGCGGTGGGATTTATACCGTGCAGTAGCCTTGCACGTTGGGCTGTGCCTGTTTTCTGGAGAGCGGCATGAGTCTGAGAGGTGGAGTGACTCACCCCAGGTCACACAGCAGAAGGTGGTTCGTGTAAGAATCGAGCTCAGATCTAACTGGCTCTTTCCTCTTTCTGCTGCCCCAGCACTCTCCTGACTTATGGCCTCTCTTTTTTCTGTCCCCCAAGAACTTTGAGGTGGAGGCTGATGACCTGGTGACCATCTCAGAGCTGGGCCGTGGGGCCTACGGGGTGGTGGAGAAGGTGCGGCATAACCAGAGTGGCACCATCATGGCCGTTAAGGTAAGCAGGGCCCCGCGTTGTCCCAGCCCAGCCCAGCCAGGGAGCTCTGGGCCGGGGGAAACTTGGGAGGCTTCCTGGAGGAGGCACGGGGGCTGAACCTGTGGTACGGCCCCTGGATACCCCTTGGAGGTCCTGGTCCTCCTGCAAGGGGTGGGGGGTGGTCGCCCTCTGCCGCATGGCCCCTGAACCGTAGCCCTCTGTCCTGCAGCGGATCCGGGCCACCGTGAACTCACAGGAGCAGAAGCGTCTGCTCATGGACTTGGACATCAACATGCGTACGGTTGACTGCTTCTACACCGTCACCTTCTATGGGGCCCTCTTCAGAGAGGTGCGGCCCTGCTGGGTGGGTGGGAGGTGGGGGCTGGGCTGCAGGCTGGGCGCGCAGGCTGCCCCCGCCCCCCCGCCGCTTCACTCTGCACACCTGTGCCCCATCCGGCTGCCCCGCCGTCCGCTGTTGCTCACTCTGGGCCCCCAGCAGACGCTCGCTCAGTGCCCCTGTGTGTGCCAGGTGTTAGGCACCGAGGGAGTAAGATAGCACATGCAGGGTTCTTGAGAGCTCATAGGACCCAGGCTGCGCGGCTCTCCTGCTTCCTGCCTCGGTTTCCTCCTCTGTGTAACGAGGCCAGTAATCGTACCCACCTCACAAGGTCATGTGAGGCTAAGATGATGCGACCCAGGGCCTGGTACTCGGTCTGCCTCTGGGGTCACCTGCTTGCTTCCCCGGCATCCAGGCTGCTTGGGTGGGTTTCCGAGCGGGGGCAGCCAAGGAGGTGTGCGAGGGTCCAGTTCTTGGTCTGTGAGCAGGACTGGTTGTGCGATGAGAGAGAAATCAAGGGTGATGCCAGGGGGTGTGGCTTGGTGCAGCCAGAAGACAGGCTCCTGCTGGATGCTCCCTGAGCATCTACCAGGTCCCCAAGCGTGCTGGGTCAGTGCCGCCTTATCCACTCGTCTGACTGGCTAAGCACCTGCTGTGTACCGGGGGCACTCTGCTCGGCCCCTTACTGTGGGGGTAGGGGGTGCGCAAGACACAGGTGTGCAGAGCAAAGCAGGGGTGGGGCAGCCTGCGCCTCACTGCATGCTGGGTCAGAGTTGGCAGGGAGGCACGTGGGTCTGCGGGTGCCCCAAGGAGATGCCATACCCAGCCTTCCTAGAAGACTGTCCTGAAAGATAGATAAGAGTTTGTGGGGGAGCTGGAAGTGGGGGAGGCCGAGCTTTGCAGGAGAAGAAGGGAACCATCTGTCAAGGCTAGAGCTAGGATGACCCATGTGTGTTGGGGGCCATAATGGCTGAGGTTAGGAGGGTCTGCAGGGCTGGGTCATGGAGCTGAGCTGTAGCTGGGCCTGAGAGCCCCCACTGGGAGGGATATAGTTAGGTGTGTGTTTTATCACTTCTTTCTGGAAACTGTCATAGAATTAGGGATCAGAGGGAGGAGACCAGAGGCAACAGAGCTGGGTGGAAGGCCGGGTGTGCTACCCACTAGTGTAGACAAGCATGGAAGGTGGAGAAGCAGAAGTTGAAAGATTGGGGGCGGGGCAGAATAGGAGGAGCTGGGAGCAGGCAGATGTGTCTGTGGGGAGGCCTGAGCAGCGCTGGAGAGAGTCAGGCACATGCTGACATGGCCCCAGGGCAGGCTATCCAGACACTGGTACCGCCTCGGGCTGACCCGGGCTGATATCCAGGTGTCCTTCCACAGGGAGATGTGTGGATCTGCATGGAGCTCATGGACACATCCCTGGACAAGTTCTACCGGAAGGTGCTCGAGAAAAACATGACCATTCCAGAGGACATCTTGGGGGAAATTGCTGTGTCTGTAAGTGACCTTGGGCTTGGGAGGGGTTGGGGGATCCAGGTCCATAGCCAGGGGCCCCAGGCCTGCGCCAGTAGGCACAAAGCCTAGCCTCATGGTGATAGCTTGGGCACAGCTGGGTCCTCAGTGGGGCCGTGAACCTGGGCGACTGCCCTCCAGGGACCCAACTCTACCACTCTGGATCAGAGCCTTCTTGCTGAGGAGACCCCAGAGCCTGGGCTCCCAGAGCCACACAGATTTGGCAGATCTTGGGTCTCTAGCTTTTGTGTGCCAACTCCTAAGCTTTCTACACCATTTTTTAAAAAAGGACTTAGTACTTACAATTTCCTTATGCCAAAAATGCCCTGAGACAGCTCACAGAGGTGCAAGCTAAATTGGGGAGAAGCTTAGCATGCACAGTGTTTGCCTTTTGAGGTAAGATGTTCCTAGAGGAAGGTAGCAATGCTGGGCTTGAGCATCCTGGCAGCCAAAGGGAAAAAGGAAATGGAATCAGTTATACTGGTGCTTCTCAATCCTGATCGCATATGGGAACATTGAAAACACACCTGTGCCAGAGTATCGAGTCAGGATCTTTGGGGTAATTGTCCAGGCTTCCCCCCTGTGTCTTCCTGAGGGGAATGGCTCAAGCATACAGGCCTCTGGCTCTGCTAAAGGAGAGGAGCCGGGGATGCCACGGAAGGGCTGGGTTTTATCTAAGAGCCTGGGGTGGTGGGGCACTGGGGGGCGGGTATGGCCGAGGGAGACAGGTGGACACGGGTGGGGGGCTTACTGCTGTGTCGTGGTGGACGGAGGCAGAAATGACAGCAGCCTTGTCTTTTGTCCTTGTGCTCTGAACGCCAGATCGTGAGGGCTCTGGAGCATCTGCACAGCAAGCTGTCCGTGATCCACAGAGGTCAGTGTACGCCGCCGGCCAGCCGGCCGCCCACAGGCACAGTCTCGCCCAGCCCTGCAAGGACGGTGCACCTGTCCCCTTTCCCAGGATGAGCCTCCTGAGGTGTTAGGTAGTGAGGTGCCCACTGGGGTCATGAGTTGAGCCTGCTTCCCAGCCTAGACCACTGTCACTTCTCCAAGCCGTCGTCTTCAGCTCCCACCCCCCCCCCCCGGGCCCAGCTGCACCTCCCCAGCCACTCCTCTTAGGTCCTTAGGTTTGCTGGTACTCGGAGCAAGAATTGGACTTTGGTCCTGGGAATGCTGACTGAATTTGTTTTGACATAGCGTTTATGTATCGTGAAATGCACAGATCCGTAGTTAACATTCGATGAATCTGTTCAGAGTTTACGCCCTCGTGACCTTGGCCCCTTTCAAGATGCAGGATGTTTGTACCTTCTACCCCGCTCCAGAAAGTTCTCTGGGCCTTTCTTGGTCAGTCCCCGCCCCTACATCCCCCCTTTGCCTTTCATCTGATTTTTCCCACAGTAAATGAGTTTTACTTGTTCTTGAACTTCATGTAAACAGATTGACATGGCCTCTTTCCAGCCTTTCACTCGGCCTAATGTTTCTGAGGCTCAGCCGGGTCGTGTATGTCATGGTTCCTTCCTTTCCCTTCTAAGTAGTTCACTTACCCAGACGTCTCGCTTCTCACAAAGTTGATTAGACCAAGCTTGCTTTGACTCCTCGGTGGCCACCCCAGCAACACTACCCCCCCCCCCCCCCCCCCCCCCACTGTTGGCAACTCAGCGTGGAACCTGCTCGTCCTTTTCTTGTGCATTTCTATCCTTCTGCGTGTCCCTGTAGGAAAACTTGGAGGTTGTGTGTGTTCTACGTGTGCTTTTGCTGGAAGATTCCCTGCTGTGTGGCCCACAGCCACTCAGTATGGACCCCGAGTTGTAGTGTGGGCTCCCTTGTCCCGTGTTTGTGCTGCCACCCTGTGCCTCCTGGCCAAACCTCCCAACCTCTCAGCGTGGACGCTGGGTGGCTTCCGGGTTCTCAGCCGGGCAGTGGTGCCATCCCCCACCAGAGCCCCAGCGCAGGAGGACCCCTGAGCTGGAGGTTCTGCCATGAAACAGGCTGAATCTCCCCTCTGGACCTTATGTCCAGAGTGCTGATGGTGGGTGCAAAGACGAGGTCCTCGTAGAAACTCACTTCCTTCCCCACTTGTGGCCAGTGGCCAGGGCGTGTTCTGACTGCGCTGCTCCCATCTTTGTGGTCTTGGACCGGGGCAGCGCCTCCCAGAGCCTCGTCCCTCCTCCACTCCCTGGGCCCTGGTATCATCTGCCCCTGGGGTGGTTGGGGCGTCAGAGGAGCTTTTGGCCTCCAGCAGTGCCCCACGGCCCCAGAAGATGAAAAAGGGGTGTTCTTTCCCTGGCAGATGTGAAGCCGTCCAATGTCCTCATCAATAAGGAGGGTCACGTGAAGATGTGCGACTTTGGGATTAGTGGCTATTTGGTGGATTCTGTGGCCAAAACGCTGGACGCTGGCTGCAAACCCTACATGGCTGTGAGTGGTCCCCACAACACTGAGTCCCCCCACAGCTGAGGTTCAGGAGGGATGCGCCTGTGAGATCATGGTCAGGCCGTGTCCTCTGTCCATTGGGGACAGAGCCTTCCTGAGGCCCTGCATTTCCTGCTACAGCAGGGTTGATCTGTTACCTAGCCTGGCCAAGCAACCCCTCTTTAACCCTGGTATTAGCTGTGCCCCAAATGCCCATTTGGACGATAAATTTCATGAACACCCACATGGAGGTGACTTGTGCAATTTGTGTAGGTCCGAGCCCTCTCCCACTATCCTGAGGGTGCCTCCCTTCCCCAGGCAGGGGTAGCTGTGAGGCATGATTTGGGCCTTTACCACAAGACCTTGGCCCTCACTGGCCTCAGTTTTCTCCCCTGCTGTGGGGGGCTGGGGTGGGTAGGATTAGCACTGATCCTTCTGTTTGGGGTGGGAGAGGAAAGACCTAGCTGAGGGAAACTTGGGTGGCCCCTACTCTAGCCCCTCACTGTGAGGTGGGTGTTCACGCCTCACTGGTCCCTTTTACAGCCCGAGAGGATCAACCCAGAGCTGAACCAGAAGGGTTACAATGTCAAGTCTGATGTCTGGAGCCTCGGCATCACCATGGTAACTAACGGCTTGCAGCTGGGCCCAGCCCTTGCTGGTCGGGTAGGGCCTGGGTGGGGCCCTGCTCAGTCCATGAGCTTTTGGTGGGCCCATCAAATAGTTTAGGCCTGGAAATAAGTGTTGGCTTCACAATCTGAGAAGAAAACGTGCCATCAAAAATTATGGTGTATCTAAGGGGATATCTACGGTGATGTTACGCCCTTTCCTAGTGGGGAGGTGTGTCCTTCATGAAAGTTCTCAACAGTTTGTGATAGCTTGTCTTTTAGACTTTACCCAGAGCTCATGGTACTTGTTGAGAAATCACAGCCAATTCCAAATTAAGTGAGCTCCTGGTACCCAAACAATTTAAAGAGCAAGATGGCAGAAATCTTAAGAAAATTGTTTTTTTTTTTTCACAGCAAGAAGTTTGTTGCTTGTGAGGTCCTGGTGCATTTGCGTGGGTGTAGTGGGTGGGCTGTCAGTCCTGGGGCTGTGGGGGTGGGAGGGGTGAGGGCAGGTGCCCAGCCCTTAGCTCAGCTGGGATAGCTACATATGAGGTCCAGGAGGAGGGCTGGGGGCTTTCTAGAACTGCCCAGTGAACGCCTGCCCCTGTCTGAGTCAGGGCTTGGCTCAGGTGTGGGTCAAGGTTTAATTAGATACCAATTGAGAAAGCCCATTCTGGTACCCATGTGGAGAATGGGCTGAAGGGACAGGAAAAAGACCAGAATGCCTGTTTTCCCCGCTTGGATACCTGGGAAAACGTTGCTGTCATGGTGTCCCCAGTATGCACAAGGGACCGACGGAGCTGGCTGAGGGGTCATTGGCCTCCATCCCAACCATTGGAGCTAATGGGGAGTGTCCGCAGTGTGGATGTTTCCATGGTGTCCTCACCCTCCCTGCCCCAGGCCCTTTGGCCTCCTGGTGTTGGGGGCGGGGTACAAGTGGGAGCAGAGCAGCACAAGCTTCTGAGGAGGTAGGGGAGGGCCCTGCAGGACTCTGGGGGCAACGGCCCTGAGGTGGGGGGGGCACCTAGTGTGTGCCTTCGGGGCCAGATTCAAGGGCAGGTCAGAGAAGTGGTGGGTGGGAGTTCAGGGTCAACGTAGACGTTTTGGATCGTACTGATAACGCAGTTTGACTATCCTAACCACCCTCCTCATAGTGTGACCGTAACCGTGTAAGCAGTGTCTGTTCGCAGTGACTGGGAAAGGATCAAAAGCAAAATCGTATTGTCAGAGACACGGAATTGGGTGATACCTTCCAGTTTTCTTAATACTGCTGACACAATCCTTTTTCAAGTGAACGGTTTTCTTTTTGAAGCAGAGAGGAATGTTCAGAGTCTGAAGGTGCACGCTGTACCTGCAGATAAGAGTCTCCCAATTCCTGAGTTAAAAAATAAGAGCAAATTCTTGCTGGATTTCCAGACGACACAGAACTGGTTGGATGTTAGAGACCCCACTCATGACCACTTGACACATACACAGCCCTGCTCCCCTCCCTCCATCCCTTCCTCCCATCCATCTGTCTGTCCGTCATGACTGGGGATGCACCACATCCCAGTGACGTTCTCATGTCTCCGCTGGAACTTGGGCAAGCCTGTGCCAAGTGCATATTTGAGTTAGCAGATGCTCCAGAACCTGGTGACAGAAACCGACGATAGTACAGTATTTCTCACGGTTCTGCAATCTGGACTGGACTAGCTGGGCAGTTCTGCCACGCCACGTGGCTCTGGCTGGGGTCAGGGCTGGGCTGAAAGGTCCAGGAAGGCTTTGTGCCAATGTGGGGCCTCCATGTGACTTCCTCACGGCCAGCTGCTTGCTGGGTTCGAGGGTAGTTGACGTCTTCTGTGGTGGCTGGCTTCCGCGAGAGAGGGTCTCTGACCGCCCGTCCCAGGACTGGCACCTCGTGCTTCTGCCTCATTCTGTTGCTCAAAGTGTCGCCGGGCAGGCCAGGGTCAAGGGGAAATAGGTCCGTGTCTCGATGGGGGACTAGCGTGCAGGCATAGGAGAAGCTATGCCCGCAGCTTAGGAACCCAGCTGCCCCAGTACAGGTTAGGTTTTTCCCCCAGAAGTTATGAAAGTCATAGAAACGCCCATCTAAAAACAGAGGAAAAGTAAAAGGGAGACAAAAATCATCAAAGACACATAGCCTCTTCTCCCTACCGTCCACTGCCAGCATTGTCCATTTCCTTCTAGACGTCTGTGGCTTTTATTTTGCTTTTTTCACTTAGCACCACATCACTCATGTTTCTCGGGATTGTTAGAAACCCCTGTAGGCATCTCTTCAAGAGACTCCACACCACCAGCTACCATCTCCCCAGCCAGTCCCTCATGTGGGACGTCTCACTCGTTTCTGGGTTTCTCTTTCCTTTCGAAGTCCCCGGCCGACCCCAGGGGAGGGACTGGTGAAGCCTTGGGTGCCGGGCCTGCCACTGAGGGGGGCTTCTCTCCAGGCCTCCGAGCCCAGCCCGGGGAGCCCAGCCCGGGGAGCCGTCTGTGGGCACGTGAGCACAGCCACGGGACGTACCCGCAATGAGATTGGGAAGGCTCTTGGCTGTGACGGGTGTCAGTCAGGTGCTGATCATGTGAACACCTGAATGGGATATCACAGAGCATGGCCCTCATGGTCACGGCCAAGACTCAGGTGCCCTGCTGCAGGCCATTCCCTGGTGCTGAGTGTTTGCGCTTCTTCTTAATAGTCTGTTGCAAATCCCACCACACCATGCATTTTGTGCCCAGAGGCTGTTTTGTTTTGTTTTGCATATTTTGAGCCCTTTAGACAGAATTACCAGGAAGAAAGGATTACAAGGTCAAGACTCTGGACAGTTTTCTGTTTTCCTAATGGTTACTCTGGCAGCCACTGGGTCCTTCCGTGGAAACCCACACAGGACCCTCACTTCTGCTACTTGGAATCAGTACATTCTAGGAAAAAGCACCCTGAATTTGCCCTGCGAAAGTACACACCGGATCACAACCCTACCCGCTGCAGTCCGCACACCCTCCTTCTGTGGGGTGTGTTTATGTCTTGGCTGGAAAGGGGCCCGTAGCCTAATGGGAAGGCTCTTTCTTAGCACAATAATTAGTGAGCTCTTCAGGCACCAGGTGCCAGCACGAAACATTTGTTTGAGCTGAGGTCTCTCGTGTTCATTATGCTGATTACGGCCTGTCAGTGAGAAGTCTCTGCTATTCCAGGCGGGGGCCTGGCTGACCTGATTTTTTTTTGAACTTGGCAGTCAAAATCAGAACCCAGAGTTTGTGGCAGGATAGCCGGTCTTTTCCACAAATGACTTCCCGCCAACTGTAGGCGACGCATATGGCTGGGGGCCTGGCGTGGCTGCAGAGGCCAGGTGGCCTCGATGTCACCTGCAGGGAGCTCCGGGTTCAGCAGGATTGACAAGTCCTCAGTGGCTGTGTGCCCAGGGGGTCCTCAGGGAGGGGGAAGTCTTCCCGGAGGAGGAGGCCTTGCAGGTGGGTCCTGCAGGAGACTGCTGGATGCATGGGGCGGCGGGGCGGGGGCGGGGGGGCGGGCGGAGGGGAAGGAGCAGCTGCAAACTTCAGTTCCTGATGGGCCCCAGGGTGCTGTTGCCAAAGCAAAGGAGCTGACCGAACGCAGGTCTCTCCATCTACAGCTTCAGGGAGAGACAGGCCTGTGGGGATAATTTCACTTCCCATTTGCCTGCTCTGTCATAACAACTGCCCAAATACATGGTGCAGATACTGAAGACCCCATGGAGACGGTAGGGAGGGGGAGGACTGTGGCGAGGGGGTGCCTTCCCCACGTGCCTTTGCCGACTGCTGCCTGTGGGAAGGTATCCCAGGCTTGTCAGCTCCTCTGATTTTTCCAGATTAGCTGGAACTTGGGTTTTCACGTAAAGCCTTCTGAATTTAGTTTGTTTCAAAGCCCGATGATACTCCCACTGTCACAATCCCGGGCTGGATTTGCTTTGGGAGCCATAGTCTGCGCCAGCCGGGTCAGGGGAACTGACTATTCTGTTCCCCCAGCTTTGATCTTTGTTTTGATGTCATGTGTCCGCCCCTCAACCTGCCTGTGGCCCAGCTTTGGGCGACAGGCCAGGCGGGTTCCCCACCTGCCCTGCCTCCAGGCGCCGGGTGTGCACGCGTCTGACCCACGCTACTGCCTCGCTGCAGATCGAGATGGCCATCCTCCGCTTTCCGTACGAATCCTGGGGGACTCCGTTCCAGCAGCTGAAGCAGGTGGTGGAAGAGCCGTCTCCCCAGCTCCCAGCTGACCGTTTCTCTCCTGAGTTTGTGGACTTCACTGCGCAGTGGTGAGTCCGCAGCCTCCCCGAGCCCCAGTCGGCCCCCCTCCCGGCCCCGGCCTGATTCCAGCTCCGCCCTGTGCCCGGCCCCCTTCTCCTTTAGCAAATAAACACCCAGACGACATAGCATCAAAATATGCAGGGCAGGAATAGAGCCAAGGAAAATCTGGCAAACGATGGTCCTTGGGGAGATTTTGATTCAGTCCTTCTAGAGCCAGACATACCAGGTAGCCTGGAAAAGGAAAGAAAACGCAGATGGAGGACTTGAACAGCATAAACAGAGTTGTTTTAGTGATGTTTAGAACTTTGTACCAAGTTAAAGGATGCCCATGGGAGTTCTCTTAAAAAAAAAAATATATATATATATATATACGTATATGTATGTACGTTCAAGATTACAAAGGAAATAGGTAGAAAGGAAGAAGGCAGAGGCATCCAGGTCGGGTTCCCTGGCCACAGCTAAACAGGAAGTGCGTAACCGCAGAGGGAAAAGATACATGGAAATGCAAAGTAAAATCTGACCAACTCTTGGGTTTTTTTTTTAATTTTTAAACTTATTTATTTATTTATTTTAATTTAAATTCAAGTAGCTAACATATAGTACATCATTAGTGTTTGATGTAGTGTTCAAAGATTCATCCATTGCATGTAACACCCAGTGCTCATCAGATCATGTGCCCTCCTTAATGCCTATCAAGTCTCCCCATCCCCCCACCCCCCTCCCTTTGGATTGTTTTTTTTTAAGATTTTATTTATTTGTTAGAGAGAGAGAGAGAGACAGAAATAGTGGCAGAGAGCATGAGTGGGGAGGAGAGGGAGCAGCAGGCTCCCCGCTGAGCAGGGAGCCTGACATGGGGCTCGATCCCAGGACCCCGGGATCATGACCTGAGCTGAAACCAAGAGTCGGACACTTAATGTGCCACCCACATGCCCCCAACTCTTGGATTTTGAAAGAGATTTGAAAAATAAAATCACAAGGTATTCAGAAGTGAGAGACAGAACATATTGACCTTTCTGTGGATTGTGGGCAAAGAGATACTCAGGGGAAAATATGCGTCCTCAGAGAGCTGCTAGGGGAGCTAACTCACTCTCCTATGAGAAAATAAGAAAGACTGAAAACAAATGAGCCTGGAAAGCAGAGTCAGTGGTCACCTTGACCCTTTACCCTGGGGCATCCCCTGTGCCTGGACTCGTGATGAGGAGTTTCCCTCCTGATTAAGGACACCGTGTGTGCGATTGTGAACTACTGCATTTCAGTATCATTTGGTATTGGGATTGTTGAGAATTCCCTAGATCACTCCAGAGACAAGAGAACAAATACCCCAAGAAGCCAAGCAACTTGGTCTAAGTCTCTGTAGACTTAGAGGTGAGCCCACCCTGGCTTGGCTGGCCTGGAGACCTCCTTTATGCCAGCCTGGCTTCAGCTTGCCCTGTTCTCTCCTAGCTTGAGGAAGAACCCCGCAGAGCGCATGAGCTACTTGGAGCTGATGGTGAGTGTGGGGCATGAACGGTGGATTGGCAGGGCTCTGGGGAGAGGGCCGCATCCCTGTGCACAGAGATGGGCAGCACCTTTGGCTTGCCTCTGTCCTAAATCATTCGGGTACTCAGTTGTTGGCTCAGACATACCCCGGCTCCCTCCCCCCTCCTCCAGGCCCAGGCCCAGGCCCAGGCAGTGCTCTGACAGATGCTGCAGGGATGGGGCGGGGGGGGGGTCATTTTGTCCGAAGCTATCAGGGAAGGCCTCACAGAGGAGGTGACATTTGAACTGGGCTTGGAAGCATGAAGAAGGACTTATGTGCTGATGGAGAGGGCATTCCACTTGGCTGGAGGCCTGGTACCGGTGGAGAAGAGTGAGTTCAGTGTGGCCGGGGGAGAGCTGCAGGAGGGTGGAGGAGAAAGCCATCACGCTGTCTCTAACAAGGAGGGCTTCCTGAAGGGGGAGGTCAGAGAAGGATGTGTAGGAGTTTGCCAGGCAGAGAGACAGGTGTCCTGGGCAGGAGGAGCATACGGGGACTGGGAGTGCTTTGGGGAGGTGGGGGCATCTCTGCCTGGCCTCCGAACTCTTACCCAAGGTGACTGCCTTCTCTTGTCCCACCAGGAGCACCCGTTCTTCACGTTGCACAAAACAAAGAAGACGGACATTGCGGCCTTTGTGAAGGAGATCCTGGGGGAGGACTCCTAGGGGGCGGGCCGTGGGCTCCTCTCTGGCCCTCCAGCGCCCCACGCCCCCTCTGCTGGGGCAGTGCTTGCCCACACCCATAAGCTACTGCCACTGCAGCCTTGGGTGTTGGGGGGAAGAATCAAGGGGGCTGCTTCTGACTGGCTTGGCAGCAGGCCGTTGGTCCCAAGTGCCAAAGAACCAGACCACCGGGGCCCTCAGCCAGGCCCATGTGGGCCCCACCAGTGCCTCTGCCCGTGCTGCTCCAAGGACCCCAAGTCTCCAGCCCCTGAGATCCTGGACTTTGTCGGGCCCGGATGGCCTCCACGGGACCCTGCTGCCCCTCGCAGAGAAGGCAGCCAGTGCCTGAGTGCGGGAAGCTGCCTGGGCCCAGCCCTGGATGCCACCCAAGTTGTATATTTTTTTTTTTTATCTTTTGACTGAATAGACTTTGCACACTTTGGCCTAGGGTGGCCACACCTCTGTCCTGGCATCTGTGTCGGGGGACACAGTTGGGGGGTGAGCCATGTGAATCCTCCTGAGCCCCCATGAGTAAGACAGCGGAGCCGCCCGAGCCTTCCCCCCAGCACTGGCAAAGAGGGCCTCTTAAGGGCACATGGGCTCAACCTAGCTCCCGTCCACTGCCTCGGGAGGGGGGGTGCTTTCACTTTTTTTTTAATTTATCCTGGTTTTTTTTTTTTCTTTTGCTTTGTGGGTTTGGCTGGTTTTTTTCTTGCATGGTGTGGAGCCGATCACTTTTCTCCCACCCCCTAGAGACCAGCAGGTTGAGACCCCCCTATCTGCTCAGTATGGGGTCCCAGGGGATGGGCCCAAGGTCTCTGCTCAGAGAGGTGCTAGGGGAGCTAACTCACTCTCCTTGGGGACCGGCTCAACAGGGGCTGTGGATTTGCTTTGGGTGTTGTTTAAAAGAAAAAGAAAATATATTTTTTTGAAGAAAGGACTGCCCAGGGTCTTATCCCTGTTGGGTTGGGGCAGTTAGCTGATTGTTGTTTTAATTTAAAAAAAATAAGAAAAGTGGAACAAAGACTGTGTGAGACTGTGTGTGGAAGCGGCAAGTCCCACTCCTTGGTGAAGATCTGTGGTCCGTAGGAGGCGCTCTTGCCTCTGGGCCAGGGCCAGGGAAGCATGATCGGGGGTGGGGGGGGGGCGCTGCTGAACCCCTCAGGCCCTGCCCTGGACAGACCCTTCCACATGGGAGGACACTGCAGCTCCCAGCTGAGGCTCCAGGCCCAGTGCTGGACACAGGGCAGAGCGGCAGACCCAGGCCCAGCCCACTGGGGGAACTGCCTGTCCCAGGGCTGGTGAAGGTTGCATTGCCAGGTGCACAGAGAGGTGAGCACTTGCCAAGCGCTGCACCCCAGCCTTGACGCAGTCACCTCGTCCAGGTGTTAACAATATCATCTCAGGTTATGCTGTCATCCCCACTTTACAGATGAGAAAACAGGCCCAGAAAGCTAAAGGAACTTGCTCAAAGCCATACACCTTGGAAGATGGAGAAACTGAGGCCTAGGGACAGATATAGGTCCCCTGGAGAGGGCTCTGAGGAGAGTGGGGGGTGGGCAGCTCAACGAAGCCTCCTTGCCAGGGTCCAGTGTGACTCTACGATCCTGTGATCCTTGAGGCCTGGGCTAGGGCTGACACCCTTCTCCAACAGACTGAAAGAGAAGGGGATTTTTTTTGCTCATGTAAGAGCTGGCTTCAGGCATAGTTAGATCCAGGAGCCTGGTTAATATCTTGAAGAACTTGTGTCCAGCTTAGCTGTTTCCTGTCTTGGTTTGACACTTCCCTCGTGGGGACAAGTCAGCAGCCATTGGCTCCCACCCGCTTAGCAGAGCTCGGGCAGAAGTCTCCGGGCTGGATCTCCTAGCCAGGAAGTGGTCACATGCTTGTCCTGCCAGTCACAGGCCAGGAGGATCAAACTTGGGGCAGTCAGCCTGCCTACATCTCAGGGTCTGAGAGCAGGGGCTCCCTAGTCCTCCACGGGAAATTGGGGCATGTTCCCAGAAGGAGGCACTGATCCCTTTGGGGTCTATCTCTCTTCTACCTTTGTGCACACTCTTCTCAGCCTCAGTGCAGCCAGAAGTGAAGTCTGTTTTCTCCCCCAAGTTGGTCCTCCGGCTGCCTGTTAACCCTTCCCTGGCATAGCAGTCGATCATTTCAAGGCACTTCCCTCACGAAGGCAGCTTCTCACCTCTGGCCTCTGCCCTGACGGTGGCCTCTGCCTGGAGTGCCCCTCCCCATCTTCCTGTAGCTGCCTGGCACCCCCACCACGTTCCTGGTCTGCCGTGTCCCTGCCTCAGGGAGGCCTCCCCGATCTGACCCGGCCAGGCCAGCTCATCTTCACCAGCGTTCTCTGGGTAGACCTGACCTGCCACTGTTGTGTCCCCAGTGCTGACATCTAGCAAGCATTCAGTCACCCTTCGTTGAATGATAACGCGAATGAATGAATACACGAAGGGAAGGAGGGCGTGAATGAATTCCGCAGCCCTGTGTGTAGGTGCGCGCGTGGACGTATGCGCGTGCGCGGATCGGCCCGCAGGCGCGTGTGTGCGCGCGCGTGTGTGTGTATGTGCGCGCGCACAGGACCGGCAGGACCCGAGTCCCAGGGGCGCGGCCCCCGTCGTTCCTCCTGCCGCCACCAGGAGGCGGCAGAGCCTCGACTTTGACCCCGTGTCCCCGGAGCCCCGCCCAGCCTTGGAGCGCCCTGGCCACCCGCTCTGCTCCCCACCCCTCACCGGCACTCGAGGTTCTAGAGGGGTCGGGGTGTCGGGGTCGGCGGGGGGGGGGACCCGCGCTGGGGCTCCGAACCTCTCCGCGCAGTTCTCGGTCTCTGCACCCTACGCCCACTGGCCCGCCTGTGCTCGCCCACCCCTCTCCCCGTGTGCATAGGCCGAGTGGGGAGCTCCGGGGCTGATGCAGACAGGGCAGAGGCCTGACTCATCTACAGAATCTCACGGGTGGGGGCAAAGCCCTCCATAGCTGGCAAATCGCTTCCTAGGTTACAGAGGACTTTGCACTTTGCAAAGCTCGGGGTTCTTTACAACACAGTTTGCAAAGTAATTTACGTTTGCAAAGCCCTGTACTAAATTATAAAGCACTTTGTAGTTTACCAAGTAGTTTACAGTTTGCCAAGTACTGGCCCCATTAGAAAGCACTTTAGAGTTTGCAGATTCCTCTGCACATTAGATCAAACAGCAGTTGTTTACAGGTTCAGTTACTATTTATAGGATCCTTCAGCTTTTACAAAGGGTGTCCAGGCATCCCAAGTGGGGGTGCCGGTGTGCAGATAATTTGACATTTACAAAGGACATCGTAAGTCCCTGGGCCCTTGACAGTTTATAAAACCTATGACCTCAGTGAAGGCTTCCTGCCTGCTCCTCACTGAAAGTAGCAGTGTGCCCTCTTCCCTGACCCCAGGCTGTGAGGTGGAGATCAGAGGCCCTTCTGCTAGGGCTGGATGTCTCAGTTTCTCTCCAAGCAGCACTGCCTGGGGGTTGCCTATCTCTGCGGCTGCGGAGTCTCTCTGGACTGATAGATGCAGAGGCACGTGGACTTTGTGTTTCAATGACAGTATGGAGCATCCTCATAAGGCAGCATTAAAATGCAGCATTCAGGCCTGGTCAGGAGTGGGAAGGCAGCCTTAGAGGGAAGAGTTGGTGACTTCCCCTCTGGAGGCCAGGGAAAGGCCAGGGAAGGCAGCCTCCCTTGTTGAATATCAGCCCAGTCTCTCTTCTCCTTAGACTGTGCTGTGGCTCCCACCTCCCCTAGTCCAAGCCTCCTGATGGTCCACAACGCCCACACCAACTGACCTGCTCTCTCACCCCGCTCCCACTTCTTTCCTGGGCTTCAGACACACCGTGTTCAAACACACCGAGTCTGACCCACCTCAGGGCCTTTGCACTGGCTATTCTTGCTGCCAAGAACACTCTCCCAAGATGTCCTCGTGGCTGGCTAAGCTGTGTCTCTATTTACATGCGGCCTCCTGACAGAGGCCTCCCTGACCCCCCTGTCACTCTGTCCCCTCAACCTAGCATATTTTCTCCCACTACACCTGGAGTTCTTCTAGGGTCTAGATGGGTCTGTCTTGCTCAGAGCCTGGAATGGAGGAGGGTCTGGCACTGACAGGAAATGGCAGGTGCAGGGAAAGTGCCCTCTGGCCTCAAGGCTGAACCTAGAACCAAGGCAGTGGGGCCCTGGGAGCCCAGCCCCGTCAGAAGTGCACCAAGGTTTGGGCTGCGGGTGGGGGGTGGGGCATACTGCTGTGCTGTGTATTCTGGGGCATCAGTCCTCGGAGGGCTCTCCAGGAGCAAGGTAACCCCCTTATTGTTCTGCCTGGGGACCCTGCACCTCAGAGAAGGGAAGCAAACAGCTCAAGGCCACACAGGCAGCAGGGCCAAAGCTGGGTGCTGGGTGCTGGGCGCTCGGCCGGCGTCTCCCAAACCTCAACTGCCTCTCGCTCGGGGTCGGAGGCCAAGGCTCCCTGCGACGCTGCGGACTGGAGCACAGCTGTCCCCTGAGAACCTCCCGAGAGAACGGTGATTAAGGGTCACTCCCCCGCTCCAGTTTTTAAGCCGGTTTGGGTAACTCTGGCCCAGGGAAGCGGGGAGGGGCTAGCAAATGGCTCCCAACCCTCGGCTTTCTCTTGGGCTGGCTCCTGGCTGCCTACGGCAGGGGCGGTGACTGAGCCAGCCCCACGGCTGTCATTTCCTCTCCCGGCAGGGACTTAGCATCTGGCCCAGCCCTCACGTGACCGACTGATCTTTTCCCCGCCAACCCCCCCCCCAACCCAGGGTCTGTGGCCTCTGCTTGTACATCTCCCCCGATGGGGAGCTCATTCTCCTTTAGACGTGCTTCCTGGAGGGATCAGAGATTCTTCCTGTCCTGGTTCCACTCCCTGAGGCGTGTGACGTGAGGGCCTCATGTGTAAACCCTGGCACGCTGTAAGTGCATTTCTTTGCCTCTTGTGAAAGCCGTTTTCAAATCCTTTTGGAAACCAGGTGGGAGGGTCTATATATACATCAGCTGTGCTATGTTTATCGTAGATCATGCATCCTCACGCCCGGGGGGCCTCGGGTTCTCCTGGAGGTTACCAAGGCCTTGCAAGGGCCTGGCCCTGCCCGGGGGCCCCCCCGAGACAGTGAAGCAGAGCTGGGTGGACCCAGAAACCCGGGAGTCCTGCCCCGCCCCCCCCCCCCCCCCCCCCCCCCCCCCCCCCCCCCGCCGCCAGCCCAAGTTTTGTCCTACCCTGAGTGAGCCACCTGCCAAGCCA